GAACTCACAGAGATCTGCCTGCCTCTGCCTCCCGAGTGCTGGGATTAAAGGTGTGTGCCACCACACCCGGCTTGTACTTATTTTTTATGTGTATGAGTGTATTGCCTGCATGCATGTGTGCCCATGTTGTGCAATGCCCATGGAGGCCACAGGGGGGTGTTGGGTCCCTTGGAACTGGAGTTACTGATGGTTGTTAGCCACCATGTGGGTGCTGGGAATCAGAACCGGGTTCTCTGCAAGAGTACCCAGTGCTCTTAACCACTGAGCTATCTCTCCATGCCCAATAAAATATTTTTTTGGTCTTTTTGAGACAGGGTGTCCCTGTAGCCCCAGCTAGACTGGAACTCACTATGTAGACCAGGCTGGCCTTGAACTCACAGAGATTTGCCTGCCTCTGCCTCCCAAATGCTGGGATTAAAGGTGGGCACTACCATGCCGGCTTCAATAAAATATTAAAAAAAAATGCTTCTGAGAGATCATCTGCTCCTTCTGCTCCCACTGCCTTGTGTTATGAAGCCAGAGCAGCTATTTCCAGCCCTGTGTGGGTTCCAAAATGCTTACTCCTTCTAATTCTTTCAAGTGATTCTTTCTTTGTTGTATGAGTATGTGTGTGTGTGTGTGTGTGTGTGTGTGTGTGTGTGTGTGTTGATAGTATTCAGCTGAAGATGGAAGAGGGTCCTCTTCAGGTCTGCAGAGTCTCCCAGAAGGGCTGTCTCCAATATTGTCTGCTACAAACACTAGAGAAGCCTTGTTCTCTGTCTCTGCCTGCTCACCTCAGGGGCACCTCTGGGTTCTACCTCGGTTCTCCCTCCCCGTGCCACAACTTGGAAACCACTTCCTCAGGTTCACCTTATTTTTTTCCCATCTCAGGGAACTGTTGCCTAATGTCCAGTGTCTTACACAGAACCTTTTTTCCATACAACTTTATACTTTATTTGATCAAATCAATAAGCCATTTTAGGTAACACCAAACATTTAGAGTAATAGCTAAAACAAATAGTGCTTATGTATCAATCAGTTAATATATGAAAAATTAGATAGATTTTAACATCTAATGTGGTTAGACAAAATATAAAACAAGGAAATCTTCAGATTATGGTGAAGTAAGTTCTATTCTATAAAGAGCAAATGCTTTATGCCAGGTGTGGCGGTATATGCCTTTAACCCAGCACTTGGGAGGCAGAGGCAGATGGATCTCTATGAGTTCAAGACTAGCCTGGTCTACATAGTAGGTTCCAGGTCAGCTGGGACTACAGGGAGACCCTGTTCCAAAAATAACAACAACAACAACAAAAAAGAGCAATGCTTTATGTGTGAGTTGTTATAATACAGTTATTTGG